TTTGCAGGGGACTTTTAGCACATCAGTCTTTACTTAGAAGGTACAGCAGAAAGAAGATAAGATCAAGAAAGCAGCTAAATTATATTCCTATCACTCAGTTTCCTCACTACATTGGAACAGCTCTGGGACTGTGCCAAGCACCTTCCAGGTTTCTACAATTCTTTTTTGCTGATCTTGACCTTCCTTTAGAACTTCACCTTTCTGCTGCTCCTAAACATCTTTTTACTTTGATATCATTTTGTCCTGGAGTTACACTGAATCTTCCTGGTGCAAAAGTCTGCCTTTCTCTCACAGCTTCCATGAGCTTCAGTGAGTTTGTTTGGGTTCCCACTAGTGGAAACTGTGTCCTCGAGCAACTTACTGAGCCCCCGCCTCAGTTTCCCATTTTGGAAAAGGGGAACTGTGTTTCATGTCTCCTACCTTTTGCCTTGACCTCTGTGTCAGGTACAGGAATAGGCAGGGTAGGGTAACCCAACACAAGTAACAACTTCTTTTTACTGAGCAATGAGAGGAAGGATCTCCAGAACCAGACACACAGAAGGAGAACCTGGACACACACAAGACTGAGGGAGTTAAGTTACGATTCTGAGTCAGGCAGAAACTCCAGACTTTCCTGTGCGGAATGTCCTGGTTAACATAGGCTTTGACAAGGAAGGATATTTTTGATTTTCTTGCAATTTCTGACCTGCTGCCAGATATTGTCCAACCGTGGATGGTCATCAGAAAGCTTGGGAGTTTTGTATTCCATCAGAGGATGTGGATGGCTGTTCTTTGTACCCTCAGAATCTCTCACTGTGAGCTGCACTTAATCAACTGTTTAGCTGCAAACCTGATGTGCTGCAAAACTATAAAGGAATCTGCCAAGTTCATATACATAAGTAACATGCATTTTGCATATTCATTTTCAGTTGGTTTTTGTTTAGAACAAACGCAGCCTGAGACACAGGGAAACAGCTTCACATGCCTGCCTGATGCTTCCTTCAGCTTTTCGTCTGCTCTAAATTAAAATATATAGGTCCAAACTTCTTCTACAAAGTTAGTGAGGCAAATTAAGAAATGTAAATTAGCAGCACAGTTTTTAAAATATTGAGGGAATGGCACGAAGCTGTGCCAGGGCAGGGTCAGGTTGGATCCCAGGGAAAGGTTCTTCCCCCAGAGGCTGGTTGGGCACTGCCCAGGCTCCCCAGGGCAGTGGGCACAGCCCCAAGGCTGCCAGAGCTCCAGGAGGGTTTGGACAATGCTCTGAGGGACAGGGGGGGATTGTTGGGGTGTCCTGGGCAGCGCCAGGGCTTGGACTCGGTGACCCTTGCGGGTCCCTTCCAGCTCAGGATATTCTGTGATTCTGTGATATTAACATTTCATTTTAGCTGTACTATTAAAATAGTATAAAATGCTGCATGTGAAATACTTCCAGAGTCACACAGCTGGGACAACAGAGGTTTTGTCTTACAGTCCTTAGGAGGAACCCCCAAAAAACCACCTGTTCTGTTTTAAACACCCATTTCATGCTGGCAGGAGACCCCTTCGAGGTTTCTTTAGAAAGCACAGCGTGAGCTGCTGTTCCTCAGATCAGGAATGAAAGCAAATTAAAAATTGCAGAACGCCCCAGGCCGAAGTGCTGAGTCCTAAGGCTTCAAACCCCGGCACGGCCTGCGGGCCCTGAGCTGAGGGCCGGGGCTGGAGCTCGGGGCTGAGCCCTCAGCCCGGCGGGAGGGCACCACTGCAGCGCTCCCAGCGCCGAGGAGCCCCGGGGCTGCACCGCGGCACGTTCGGAACACGCCATTCTTAACACACACAATCCCAGTCACCCGCAATTCTTAACACACACAATCCCAGTCACCGCTTGGGAACTCCTGCCCTGCCCGCGGCCTCCCCGCGGCCCCCAGCGCGGCCGCCCCGTCCCTCAGTGAGGGGCAGCCCCGCGCCCCGGGTGTGTGTGTGTGTTTATAACACTTTGTTCTGCAAACACGGCCGCTCTCAACCTCAGCCCCGCAGCCGTTCATTTCAAAGCGTCCAAATGGAGGCAGAAATAAAGTCTCCTGCAAATAGGCTTCGATTAAATCTAGAAAGAATTTTCACAAACAAATCAAAGGCAAGGCGGTCTGAAGCCCCGAAATGGAACCGGGCCGCTCAGGAACGGGCAGGCACAAGTGTTGCACTTCAAAATGCAACTTTGTACTTGGTAAATATTAAAGCTTGTGCTGGTTTAATATTTAAATGGAAAAAAGACAATTTCAAAGATTACTAGATTTTTTTCATCAGAAAATGAGGAAATTTCCACCAAATTCTTCATATAAGATTCATGAAATCCTCTTTAGAAATAGCACTGAGGCTTCTCTATCTGATCTCAGACTCATTAATTTAATCTTTTGAAGCAGGTTGAGCATGTATTTAATTCTGACCCTTTGGCTGGATTCACAGATCCATTAATCTTCCATATGTACAATTAAAAGTGCGGCAAAAGCTGTCACATTCCCCCTCCTGTCCCTGCTGAGACTCACCAGAGCCTGGAACCTCTTCCCTCTCCCAGTCAGCACCATCCAGGGTGGGTTTGATCCAAAGAAGAAATCCAGAGGACTGGGACTCCCCAGCCAAATGCACCTGGGGTTACCGGTTCACAGGGAGAGAGACACAAGGAGCTGAGACAGTGGGAATGGTTTGGCTTTCCCGGAGGCTCCAACGCATTCTCTGTGTGAGCAGAAATACCTGGACCCACAGGCTGAGCCCTGGAGTGTCACATGGGTGTCAGAGCTAAAAAAGGCAAACCCATGGGCTTAATTTAAACTCCCCCAGTATGTCAGTGTTTTCCCCCAGGACTGCCTGTGCGCCTCTTCCAAACTTTTCTACGGTTTTCCTGGAATTTTAATATCCCTCTCTCTTTGGGTTTGTACTTTTTCATTCTTTTATTTTTAGATTCAGTATTTCACAGTGGTCTGCAGAGTCTGCCTGACGCCAGCAAATGTAACTGGATCCCAAGTGCCTGCAAGCCAGGAATTGCAGCCACGATCAGCACGCTGCCCAGAGCAAAACCTTGGCACTGGGCAGCACCAAAGAGTCTCAATCTTCTATTTATCTTCGGCTGGGCTTGGGAAAGGAAGCAAGAAGAGTTCATCAAAATGTAAAGAATAGCTGGGAAAGGTTAGGGGTAAGTCAATAGAAATCAAAGATGCCAATATGTCTGTCCTACAACAGATTTGTGTGAGCTGAATTCCAAATGCAAGACCAGGGGTTTACAAAAAACCCCGAGGTAACCCAGTAACAGGCCAGGCATGCACAGAGCAGATTGCCTTTAAAAAGGGCTTCTGTCAGCAAGGTTGACTTCAGTGGATAAATAAGAATAGGCTGCCTGGCAGCAGGGCACTGCTGGCACTTATCTCCCAGGTCACATTTTCCAAGTTATGATGGCTTGGTTGATACACACAGAACTGCAACTCCCAGTTCTGTTTGGGCCACATCTTCCACCCAGCCTTTGGTGAGCAGCTCTCAGGTTTTTACCTTACTCTTCCACGCAGTGCCACTGGAATAAATCTGTTTTAATTACCTTGCTTGAACTTACTTTTTAGTTTTCTGTCACTTCTGGCCCTGCAGCAGAGAACAAAAGGAAGGATTGCCAAATTATCTGATTGAGAAGTCCTTCATCCTAACTATTCTAGGATCTGTAACTGTGGTAACTAATGTCTCCAACAGAATGTGGCCTCTTGAAGGAAGAAGAACGAATTTGGAGGCAGTTCTGTCCCAAAGGTGACATGGTGAGTCAGCAGCAGAGCCCAGATTAGAAGGGAGAGTTCAGCCTGCCCATCCCAGTGCAGCTCCACTGCTCCTGCAGCACCTCCAGGCAATAAAGTTCATGTGGCTGGGTGGGAAATGCTCAGCCCCTGCCCTCACACTGCACCTTGGTGTTTATCCATGTTTTGGCAGAGTTCATTGTTTGTTGCCAGGACAGTGTAAATCAAGGAAAACAGAAAGCATGGAGCTTGCCATGGAACAACAGACACCCCCACAGCAGAGCTCCACTTGCAGAGAAGAACTGGGCAGCCAGGACACTGAATATAGACATTGTGTGTAACGCTGACATTGCTTGAAAATGAATTTTTTACAAGGCAGCTTGTCTGTCTCTGCATGAGTAACAACTGCAGAGTAAAGGAACTGTAAAGCAGAGATCCTGAACGGAGCAACCAACTTTATCTGTCAGTTTTCTCCTCTGCATAAGAAAGGTTATGGGGTTTATTTTTATTCCTGGCATATTTAAAAGAGGTTTAGGTAAATAATGTAACATGATCACATTTCCTTGGCAAAGATGATATTCAGTATTTCATATTTGCTCACCTAACTGGAGGTAGTTGTGCCAGCTGTACATGATGCCACTTCACACAGAGGCAGGAAGTGTTCTCCTTCACTGGTCTGCTGAGCATGAACTGGGAAGAGATTGTAAAAACACACCCTGTATTCTCCTGTATCCTCCTCCTCTCATTTTTCGGATACTCTTTGTATCACATTTCCTTGTTTCTCCTTGGTCCTCCTCATTCAGGGTTAACCCTTCATTTTCATTGTCCCAGTTAGCAAACTCTTAAAAGGAACCAAAAGAAAACTGATATTATTTATCCCCAATTCTGAATATCACAGTTTAGGAACTGCTGTTGCCACTGTGATGCTGCAGTGTCTCATCACCTCAAGCATAGCTGAAGTGGAAAACTTCCTAGTCTCCCATATTGATGCAACTTTTCCATAGAATTGTTCTTTTCATTCAGATTTTTCCTTAAGTGACCCAAGCCCTTCTCTTTCTTTCCCTGCTGCTTGGCTGGTCGGCTGAGGCACCTACTTGAAAGTGCTTCAGGTCCTGGTTTAATGCTGAGTCAAAGGTTTGCCTGTTGGCAATTTGCCTGTTGCCCGCTGCCTTACTCTGTTTTTTTTAATTGGTAAAACAGTAACAGTGATTTTTTTAAGGGAGTTTCTGATCTGTTATTTTTTTTTCAATTTTGTAACACTCTGGATGTGCACAGACTATGTCAGGGAGTGTGAGCTCAGGAGTCTGAGAAACCTCTGTGGTTCATCCACAGGGCTTGGGGAAGGTGCTCCAGGCAGAAAGTTCAGTGAATGCTGAGAGTTGATTGCTCTCTGGACAACTGGGAGCACTCTGGACTATCCACCACCATGGAGCCCCCTGAGGTGAGCACAGCCTGAGGTGTGATTGGCATTGGAAAGCACAGAATCATGGAATTATAGAATGGTTTGGGTTGAAACGGACCTTGAAGACCATCCATTCCACCCCCTGCCAGGGGCAGGGACACCTGACAACAGAACTGAAAACAGACTTGGACAAAATCTTCAGTAATAATGATTTCAGAACTCTGATTATTCCAGCAACTCTGATGCAAACCAGGAGCCCTTTATCCTGCAGTGATTATTTTGTTAGTCCCATCCTCTCCTTGAGAGCTGCTTCCTGTGCCACCACCTTTGTCTTTTCCCCAAATACCTTTAGAGGGATGACCTGAGATGCAAAGCCCATCCAGACTCAGGGGCACAGCAGCCCTCTTCTCCTCTGCACAGGTGTTATGTGCTGCTTTTCCTCTTCCCTTCCCATGTCCTGAATGTCTCTGCCTCTGGAGAAACTCGGTTCCATTCCTCAGTCATTCCTCAGTCTCTGAGAGCACCGTGCTCTCATGGAAGAGGGGATCCTAAAAAGATAGGATTGAGGCATCTCTGCTAAGAAGGAACTGAGAGATGCCAGATTCCAGCTTGCACTTGGAAAGGCACACAATATGGAATGGGCAAATCATGGAATCACAGACTGCTCTGGGTTGGAAGGGACCTTAAAGCCCATCCAGTGCTACCCCAGGGACACCTTCCACTGTCCCAGGTTGCTCCAAGCCCCGTCCAACCTGGCCTTGGACACTTCCAGGGATCCAGGGGCAGCCACAGCTTCTCTGGGCAGCCTGTGCCAGGGCCTCCCCACCCTCACAGGGAGGAATTTCTTCCTAATATCCAAGCTAACCCTACTCTGTCAGTGTGAAGCCATTCCCCTTGTCCTGTCACCCCAGACCCTTGTAAATAGTCTCTTCCATCTTTCCTGTAGTTTCCCTTCAGATAATGGAAGGCCTCAACTAGGTCACCCCAAAGTCTTCTCTTTTCCAGGCTGAACAATCTCAACTCTCTCCACCTGGAGGGGCTCCATCCCTCTGATCATCTTGGTGCCTCCTCTGGACTTGCTCCCAAGCAGATGTGACCAACAGGACAGAGAATGTGGGACCCTCAGCTCAGCCAGTGGGGCTCTGCCCTGCTTGGGAGGACTATTCCCTGAGAAAGCATGGATGGCCACAATGCAAGACCCAGAGTATGATTCTGAGGTGTTACAACCTGTTTAGCACATGACCTCAGTAACAGAGATGGCAGTGTGCTCTGTGTTTATGTCCGGTGCTTTTTGTGTGATGGATGTGCAGAAAGGTTTGTGCTGGGCAGGGAATGCCAGATATTCTAGGAAGCCTCCAGGGCAGCTTAAGGCAGTTTTAGAGAGAAAATGGGGTGCTGCAGTAAGGGCTGAGTTACCACTTCTGGTCATAATTCATCTGCTTTTTGCATTCCTGTCTCTGAGAAATATGGAGCAGCGAGTCCCTGAGTGCAGGACACACAAGAAGCCTTAAGCTCCTGGCATGTAAATATTTGTGAAGCAGCCAGTAAGTCCTATGCATTAGGGTAAACATCAGTTCTGCTCTGTATTCTCAAATGCAAGGCTATTTTATTCAAGCCCTAATCTGTGTGCTATGTAGCTGCCACTAATAAACAGTTTCTTTACAATTAATCTCTAGAGAAAGATTGTTTCCTACCTACCCTGACGTGTTCCCTGCAGGAACTTTGCTCTTTGCTTCCCTGGCTTATTCTAGTTTTTGGACATGGTAAAAACCTTTAATGTAGGAATCTGTACTGGGGAGAAGGCAGGGTTTAAAACCAGATATGGAGATAATTGTGGAAGACATAGATAACCAAGTTCAAGTCCAAAGGTTTTTATTCAGTCCTGTAACTTCAAAGACAGCAATTTTAATTATGTTGTTGAGAGGGGATGAGAGCATCCACACAGTCTGACTTGCAGTACCTACATGTGGGGTCTCCAAGGAAAGAAGTGGACTCTCATTTTTTTATTTAAGTTACTTTCTGGAAGATCTTGTCTCTCTTTTTTTGAGTACAGAGTGTGCCAGGATGAGCAGAGCCAAACCATTTCACATTAATTCCTTCAATATGAGGAATTTGCTGGAGACTGAAGGCTGGGATCTCCTCTCTCTTGTTTCACTGGGAGAGAAAAATTACTCATCTGTCAAATGTTAACCAGACCCAGCTCCCTGAGCTGTTTTGCTCAATACATGGTTTTCATTGACACATTTTTAAATGCAGTTCCAGATCACAGCTATAACATGCCTGTCATTTATGCCATCACCCAAAATGCTTCAATATCTACTTCCCTAAGTATTTCCTTCATAGAGGGAAAGAAGTGTACTCCTCATTTCTTATGAACTGAATGCACCAATAGACGAACAGTCTATTCTAAACGAACAGTCGTTTAGAACATGTACTTTCTACTACCTTTGATCTCATTTTTTGTGTGCAGGGAAATTATCTGAATCAGTTCAGTGGTGAAAAAGCATTATGTATACAAAGAATATTTCCAAGGAGCTCTTTTATTGACTTGGACTTGCTTCTTGAGTGTTGTTACAGTGGTTTTACTTGATTTCTCTATTTTGGGGGTTGATTTATGGTTGTTTATGCAGATCAGAAGCCTGAAGGAGGCAAGTGCTTTCAGAGGTGCAGGTACCAGAGTGGGGCAGGGCAGATAAGCAGATGCCTGGATGTCTGCAGCAAATAAGAATCCTGGCTGCAGTTGTCACTACTAAACTGAGCAAATATGTTATGCCAAATAAAGTAATTTTAGCTGATTTATTACAGTGCTTAAAGAAGTTTTGGGTTTTTTTCAGAATCAAAGTAGGCTACTCTATCTAGCCCTTTTTGCATCTCATCTTCTGATGGACAACTGCAAACCCTATTGACTGAAATATGCCCTTATTCTTGTAGGTTAATACTGAACAAAAATGAAAGTGAAATAACATTAACAAAATCCTGGATTTCTTACAAAAATTTCTGTACCTGGTCACTTGGATGTTCTGAGACAATGCAATAGTTAACATTTTGTTTGCCTTTCTCACACAGGCTCTCAACGCCCTTGAAATCTCCATGTAACATGTATTGTTTGTAGTGGGGACACTGAAAACCAGGAACCAAATCTGAGCAGGAGAGTGAACTCCCACATGACTATTACATCATTTAGAAGTATCAGCAGCCTCTCTCTTTCTTAGAAGAGAACAATCACACCATATTGCTACACGGAAAACTACATTTTTTGTACGTCTGGGACAGGGCTGCATCTGAAAATGACAGCCTGAGACAATGCAGAAGTAATATCTACGTGGAGAGAAAGAACTCCTTTTTTTCCTTCTTTTTTTTACCTCATAAAACTGATGGCTCAGAATAAGTCTGATGATTCTGATAGTTTTGAGTGTCAAGAGCTGATTCCTGAGTGCAGCAGGAAGCACTAAACTGTTGGGTTTCATAAACTGCCCTAATAGCAATTCAGCAGCAGCTCAGTAGAGGCAAAATCAGGGAGAAGATTCCAGAGTCCACAGTTACATCTGAGTTACAGTGAGGATTTGTGGGAAGGAATTGTAGGTTTTATTCTCTCCACCACCATGAGAACACTGATGAATTCTCTGTGATGCCATTAATAACCTAATCAAATAATACAGTATTGGATGCTACACTGTCACCACAGCCAACACACCATCCCAAGTGCACGGGGCAGCAGGAAACGGACACGGAGAACTGGGATTTTGAGAAACCTGTAGTTGCTCTTACATGTGGGAGATGTGAAATGTTACAATTCCAGGTCCTCCTAAGTCAGCAGAGGTTTCAGTGCAGACAAGGCTGTGTGGCACACCTGCTTAGATCAGGCCAGGCTTTCCACTGACGTGCTCGGAACAAGGACTTTAGACTTTCCCAGCTGTTCCTTCTTCCTTATCCCAGGCCACAGACGCAGGGAAAGCAGCTCTAAAGCATATTTGCCTTCATGATACAGGTCAAGAGCCAGGATGAGAACAAAGACACTTCTTGGTGCTGATAACGACTTTTTGTGGTTGAAACTGGATCCTTGATGTGCAGTTGTTTTATGTGGCTCCATCTCCTCCTGTTATCAGCTGGGAGCAAGTGCTGGAGTTTCTCTCCTGGTCGATGCAGGCTGACTCCTGATGGGGCTCGCTCCCACTTGTACAGAGGGCTACAAAAGCTTCTCCAGTAAGTCTGCTTTGTGGGGGACTCTGAAGAAAACTCTAGTCAAAATTAAAATAGCTGTTAAATTTCAGATCTAAGAATTTAACTACTTAGTAACAATAAGAACTTTATTTATTGGAATCATATATTCTAACTATACAACCACAGACAGACCTTTGTTTGAATTACAAGACAATCAGGGCCACACCTGACATCTCACACGGTGCTTCTTGGGCAGATTCAGAGCCAGAGAATTCGACACAAAGCCACTGGCCCTTTAGGTTTTTAATGTGACTTTAGGGAGATTCTGGGTTTTGCTCAGTACTTTCCTTAAAGACACCAGGAGGTGGGAAGTGAAGCCTTCCAGTGATGAAAAATTGTGGGATGGGTGGGTTGTACAGCCACTGCAAGAGTAGTGCACAGATGAGAAAAGGAACCTTTTGCAACTTCTGAGTTCAGATTTCTCTAAGCTCAAAGAACAGAGCAAAAAAACCAAGTTGTGATATGAAAAGCCTCTGGTCAATTTTAGTGTTTAGATTATTCCATGGTAGTGCCAGCCTGTTATTTCTAATGGTGGCTACAACTGTAAAACCTGACTTCTGTTCTAATGGGGACATTCTGGGTCTCTCTGCAGGACTTCAGTCACCTCAAACCATTCCTGAAGTTCCTCAGACAGAAGGAGGGTGCCCAGGAAACAGCAGCACGTGTGTTCAGTGGGGGTGACTTTCTAGTAAGGCAAGGGCTGCTGCTTTCTGTCACGGGTTAAAGGAGCTGCAGTCACACATCTCCAAATGCTATCTATGAAGGATGAGTCAGGAGAACCCTGCCTGCCCCTTGCGTCTCTGGGGAACGGGCCGACT